GTAAAAGGATCCTCCTGGGGAAATGACTGTAGTGAAGAAACTAGCCAACCAGACATCACCCTGGTGCCTTTCCATGACCTGACCCCTATTTGTTAATGTGGTTAAGCTCTATTCTTTCCTTTTCTACCCCCTTTATTTGCCTTTCCCATCTTTTGTAACACCTTAAGCCCGATTCTGGTCTAGGAATTTAAAAAGGAACCCATGGGAGAAACCCGAGGATGATGACAGTATTGGACATTATGACTTGTGATGACATAAGATATGATTCAGGCACAAGAGACATGTCATAGGAGATTTGCCATTGGTCATGATGACAAGACAAAACACAAGCACAGATACATGCTGAGGAATGTTTCTCCACGAGAAGAAAATACCCATTCAATATTGTAATCAATCGAAGGAAAATTTGAGGAACATGGTTCCTTATTTATAAGTCGTTAACATTAAAAACAACACTTTCTCTTTCTTCATTGTTTTTATTGAGCTATATTTTTTTTCTGCTCTCCTCCTTTCTCCCCTCTCTTTCTCCCCTCTCCCATGGTCCCCATGCTCCCAATTTACTCAGGAGATCTTGTCTTTTTCTACTTCCCATGTAGATTAGACCCATGTATGTCTCTCTTAGGTTCCCCTTGTTGTCTATGTTCTCTGGGATTCTGAATTGTGGGCTGGTTTTTCTTTGCTTTATGTCTAAAAGCCACTTATGAGTGAGTACATATGGAATTTGTCTTTCTGGTTCTGGGTTATCTCACTCAATATGATGTTTTCTAACTCCATACATTTGCCTGCAAATTTCAAGATGTCATTATTTTTTTTTCTGCTGTGTAGTACACAATTATGTAAATGTACTGCATTTTCCTTATCCATTCTTCAGATGAGGGGCATTTAGGCTGTTTCCAGGTTCTGGCTATGACAAACAATGCTGCTATGAACATAGTTAAGCACATGTCCTTGTGGTACGGTTGAGCAACCTTTGGTTATATATTCAAAAGTGGTATTGCTGGGTCTTGAGGAAGGTTGTTTCCTAATTTTCTGAGAAATCGCCATACTGATATCCAAAGGGGCCGTACCAATTTGCACTCCCACCAGCAATGCAGGAGTGTTCCCTTTACCTCATATTCTCTTCAGCATAAGTTGTCATCAGTGTATTTGTTCTTGGCTGTTCTTACAGGTGTAAGATGAAATCTCAGAGTTGTTTTGGTTTGCATTTCTCTGACGGTTAAGGATGTTGAGCATTTCCTTAATGTCTCTCAGTCATTTTAAATTTCTCTGATGAGAATTCTCTGTTTAGGTCTGTACTCTATTTTTTATTGGATTATTTGTTCTTTTGATGATCAATTTCTTGAGTTCTTTGTATATTTTGGCAATCAGTCCTCTGTCCAATGTGGGCTTGGTGAAGATCTTTTCCCATTCTGTAGGCTGTCATTTTGTCTTGTTGACCATGTCCTTTGCTTTACCAGAAGCTTCTCAGTTTTAGGAGGTCCCATTTATTAATTGTTCTCTCAGTGTCTGTGCTTCTGGGGTTATATTTAGGAAGTGGTCTCCTGTGCCAATGTGTTCAAGTGTACTTCCCACTTTCTCTTCAATGAGGTTCAGTGTGGTTGGTTTTACCTTGAAGTCTTTGATCCATTTGGACTTGAGTTTTGAGCATGGTGATAGATATGAATATATTTTCATTCTTCTACGTGTTGATATCCAGTTATGCCAGCACCATTTGTTAAATATACTTTCTTTCTTCCATTTGATATTTTTTGCTTCTTTGTCAAAAATCAGGTGTTTGTAGGTGAGTGGATTGATATCTGGGTCTTCGATTCAGTTCCATTGGCCCTCCTGTCTGTTTTTATGCCAATATCAGGCTGTTTTCAGTACTGTAGCTCTGTAGTAGAGTTTGAAGTCAGGGATTGTGATACCTCCAGAAATTCCTTTATTGTACAAGATTGTTTTGGCTATCCTAAGGTTTTTGCTTTTTCATATAAAGCTGAGTATTGCTCTTTTGAGGTCTGTGAAGAATTTTGCTGGGATTTTGACGGGCATTGCATTGAATCTGAAGATTACTTTTGGTAAGATTGGCATTTTTACTATGTTAATTCTACCTACCCAAGAGCATGGGAGATCTTTCCATTTTCTGGTGTCTTCTTCAATTTCTTTCTCCAAAGATTTAAAGTTGTAAAAACAACACTTTCAAAATATAAATTGATCCTGTGGGAAAGGTGACCACTCCCAATCTCTGCTCACCACATTCTCAGTCTTAACATGTGGGTATGAGTGTTTCTAAGATGTCAACACACTATTCATCTCCCAGGATGCACTGCTGCTATAGTAGTGCTTCACTTGATGATGGCCTGTGCTCTGAAAAAGTTCAATGCATCTCTAAATACATCTTGCTCAATCTTATTCAAAACTCTGCAGCTGAATCTAACCTCACAGGCATAATTAAATTAGCAGCTTACTACATTACTTCCGTTTTTATTCTACAAGGAACAAATCAATGCCCCTTGAGTTACCATATTCAGAAAAATGCCCACAAAAGAAGAAATTTAATTAAGTTTATTTGAAGCTAATTTAACCTGACATTATTCTTTTATAAAATTTAATTTCACTTGGAGTTTTCACTCTCCCTTCATATTTTATAAATACCTGTGGAGTTTAAAGCCTGGAAAATACCAGCAGCATGTAACTAAACAGGAAATCAATAGAGGTTATCTATCATTCAAGCTTTAAATGTGGCAAGGGGTGCAACAAGGGGTGCAAAGAAAAAATAAACACTGTATGCCAAGTAAACTAGGAAATTGAAAAAAACGCTGGATCTCGTAAATGAAATCATAATAATCTCTCTCTGTTGCTGCTCCTGGATTTCTAGAAACAGTTCTTAACAGTCTATGGAGGCTTCAGAAGCCTGAGCTTCTCTCCTGCTCCCTTCTCCATCCTTGGCTCTCCCAATGTCCACAGCTTTAAGATCTCATATGAGGTGACCTTGGCTATGTTCCACACAGTACTTCTGACACTATCCTTCATAATATACTAGTGTATATTGTGTATATCATGCACCCCAGTATCTCCACTTTGGACCATACATCCCTCTGTGATGACTTTTTCTTTTCTTGCAGCTTGGGATGTTCTTCTCTCAGATGTTTCCATAAATATTTCTTCCACTTTACATAGGTCATGAAATTCACCTCAGACCATCATGTGATAAGGGAACTTTTACAGAGCTGTGTTTGGGCTGTTGAGAGCCTGAGGTGCTAGACATTGGGAAAGCATGGGCAATCCCATTCCTGAAGGAGCAGGTGGAGAATACTACACTACTATATCCCAGTGAGAGCAAAATCTGTGAGAAGAGAGTTAGACACAGAGCCATAGACACGGGAGAGAGTAGCAGAAGGGAGGAAGAAGAGAGAAGAGATAGCCTGCCCTGAGCTTTCTTTCTCTTCCCTTCAGATTCCCTTCAGTGCCAAATCTAGGCAGAAGCCAGTGACCAAAATATACAGGTCAGGCTGTCCACACTCATCATCCTCCCTGGAAGAAAGCAGAAGAAGGAAGAGTGTACGCAGTGGACAGATGAGCAACCAGGAATGAGACTCTAGGTAGAGTGGACCCAGTGGGCAGATGAGCGACCAGGAATGAGACTCTACTAACTGGCCAGTTCTTGAAAATTATTTTCAGGGATCAATATCTAAAATAGTATCTCATACATATTCTTTCAGAAGCCCTTATCTGTATCCAACACTGTTTTAGATTGACGGGGATTTTTGTTTTGTTTTGTTTTTTGCTTTTTCTCACAAAAATATAAGCTCTACAATGGGCAGACTTTGTCATTTTATTAAGTATTACATCCTTACAATTTGAAACATCTGCTGCACAAGAGTACAATTACTGGTGGTCAAATCCAATCTTCCCTTCACTCTCTGAGAATATTCATGTCTGATAAAGTCAGAGACATGCAGTCGACCCTCAGTATTTCTAAGGAAATTAATCACTCATACGAACTCTGTACTCTAGCCTTTCCTAGGATCTAAAATATCATTCAGGTTACTTAATTTACCTTATGATTAAAACTAATAAATGTAAACATGTTATAATAAACATATACATATTCACTATATTTCACATATTTTTCTTTCTTTACTAAAATACAAAGTAACCTAATGCAGCATGACTGTATATGATGTTAAAATATTTTAACAAAGTTAAATTTTAAAAAAAGAATATGAAATACTTATGTCATTCAAACTATGGCAAGAGTTAATTCCCAAAATTATCAAATATTTATCTATAACACTTTTTAAAATTTTTATTCAGAATAACTACAGTGACAGGGAGCTCACCAGCTCAAGAATTATGGCTTTATGGGGCCCTGTTATAATAAAGTTGGGTTTGACTCTTCTTTTTCCTTATTCTTTACAAAATAACAATTTTTTCATCTTCTTTCATACAAACCAGAGACCCTCAGTTCGTCGCACCGAATTTCACACACCACCTTTCGGCAAATGTCGCCATTCTCGCATCAGACGCCCGCACTGGGACATGGTCTAGCCTGTGGTCCTCCCTTTAGCGTCCAGACTCTGAAGCCGATGCCTCGAGCCTGGGTGCAGGCAGAGCTGCACCTTTGTCACGTAGACATTCTATTTTCACCAGCACAACTTTCAAGATCAAGTTCAGTTTCTTTCCTCCCTAAACCACATGACATTACCACCGGCATTGATCTGTTTCTTACATGTTGCTCAGTCACGTTTGCCCAAGCAACTGGAAAAGTACACATTTGTTCCGGAGCTTCGTCTATCGTTGCAAGGGTCATTAGTGTTCCCCATATGATGTGACAGATGCTAACACAGGTGCAATAGGCCAATAATACGATGACCGCATCGAGACAAAATTCAGTCCACAGACATCAGCCATAGGCTTGCCCATGTGTGTCTCCTACAGGTTCTTTCAGTGCCCCAGAAATTAGGGCAGGAATGATTTAACCATGTCATTCCACCACATGACAGTCACTCTGGACTTACCTGCAGCCACTATGATAATGTCTGCCAGTTGAGTATGGGCCTTCAGTTGCTCTCTGGGAGTGTATCTGTGAGCTATCGTCACCGTGGCGTCTCCTGCAATGCAGAAGAGACTCCATTAATGGCTACTGTAATTTCCAAAATTCTACAAAGGTTTTAAACCTGAGATAGTTTTTGCTGCTACTCATAAATAGGAAAGTTGCTTCGACATGATTAAATTACTTTGGAAAGAAAAAAGAAAGAAGTTCTAGATGAAGCAAAATGTTAAAAGTCTACCTTTCAGTTGTGTACACAGACAACCATATGAAGCTAAAGGAGAATAAAAGCCATCCATCCTTGCATATACACTTTTGTACATTTTAAATTTTGTATTGACTGGCTCTCCACTGATATTAGGGTTGCAGGCTGGTGTATTAATGACAGGGAAACAAATACAGACAGCAACAAGACACATGTTCTAAAAATGTGGTAATGTATTGCAGAAAAATAGGTGAGCTATTAATTCTGCCAAGAAGGGGTGTCAAGATGCGGTTCCTAATGGAGGCAGAGTATCTGCTAATGTTCCCAAGCATAACAGACAGGAAAAGGAAGGAAAGGACATTTCAAGTGAGAAGATAAAGCCAATCAAGGTAGTGACTGTGTTTAGGAAAAGTCAAGAGGACTGGAATAGAGCAGGAAGCCTTTGTGGGAAAACTTGAATGGGTTAGAAAGTAAGAAGGAATGTACGGAGCTCTGTCATCTCAAGCTATGACATGGCCTGGGAGGAAGAATGAGGCAAATGCAGTGAGGGAAGCAGTCTAGGGAGTGGTGACACAGAGGAGTTGCCCCAGCAGGAGGCACTGGGAACTGCATGGGAGCGGAAGGCCAGGCAGTGCCTCCACCCTAACCCCCAGCAGGAGTGTCGTGCAAGCAGCAGATCTTCAAAAACCCATCCATTTAATGATGAGTAATAAATAAGGATTTGGTGAAGCATCAATAAACATCCCCAGGAAGGACAAGTCTAGGGTAATGGGGAGGTGATGAAATGGCCAGGGCTCCAGTGGTGGCTAAGACTAGCCTAGTCCAGTCATGATGACTCGAGCTTTTATCCACTGATGCAGCAAACTTTACCATAAGAAAAGTTTTAAAGAAAATACTTCAAAGGTGGCAGAAATAAGAAAGAAATACACAAAAATAAAATCAAAATATGTTTTAACTAATTTATCGGTATATGAAAAGGCAACGATTTGTTGTGGAAATTGAACATTATGAACAAACATTATAATAATTTTTAATTGGAGCTTAAAGTAACAAAAGTCAGGAGGAAGTGACATGAATCCATCCAAACTGATCTATACTGGTCAAAACTGAGAGGCATTTTAGTAATGATTCTGAATTTTAAAGATAGAAAAAAAAAGAATCCTATAAACAAGCATCAACCTCACCCACCACCACCCCCCCCCCCCAGCCTCAAATAGAGAAATTCTCAGAAAGACTCATGTAAAAAAATTGGGATTCAAGAATTTTCCCACAAGCCACTCAAATTAAGATTAAGAGTTGCAAACAATATTGAAAATTCATGACCTTAGAGAATATTGTTTATAAATGAAAAGAACTTGCTAAGACATGTGTTCTGATTTACCAAACCCATTTGCAGAATGGAGAGATGTGACATGTTTTATTACAGAAATAAGACTTTGAAACGTGTAGAGATCTGACTGACAGACTTCCACGGCTTGATTCCTGTCTTCTAAGTCATACTGAAGTTTAACTGCCATGGCAATGATACTCTGGTGGACCAGCAGTGTTTATTTGATGGATAAGAGCCCAGGTGGTTAATGCTGCCGGGGGAGTGGACGGACGCCTCATGAAAGACAGTTTCAGCAGCATCTGTAACGCTCACTCTTTGCAGCTGTAAAGCAACGGCCTCTGTTCTTCACAGATTACCGGCCACGGTATTCTGCTATAGTAGCAAAAATCTGATTCAGACACTGACAAACATAAATGGTATTTGCTTAGATAATGTAGAAAGAATGTAACACACAAAGGGAGAATGGGAAGGGAAGGCCAAGTCTTCTGGTTACTCATACATAATAATGGGTATCAACAAGTTGTTCTAAAAGCTATTAAGCCAGTAACACAGGCATCTATTTCAAAATATAAATATTCTGAAAGATGAGTTTTATTGATCAATATCAGATAAGAAACAAAAACTGAAATCAGAAATGAAGCAAGAACATTCTACCAATTCTTTTATAATATTAATAGATACTACACAAAAGTAGAGAATTAAATCTGTTCTATGTTATAATTATTAAGATAATAAAAATCTTAAATATTCGGGACAGAAAAGCTTAAAAGTAAAAGGAAAACAGAATAGAGAGTACGTTGATAATCCTGACCATAGGTATTTACCATAAAAATGAATAAGGAATTTCCTGTCACCTATAAAGGATAATCGAAGGAGCAATTCAATAATAAATAGAACAAAGATGTACACTGAGAAAGCAAAGAGGTGGTCTGGGCGTGGTGGCACATGTCTTCATCCCAGAACTTGGGAGGAAGGGGCAGGAGGATCTCCAGATTGAGGTCAACCTTTCTCGTGGCGAGTTCCAGAACATCCAGAACTACGTAAAGAGATCATATCTAAAAAGCAAAGGCAAAGGGGTAAGGTAAGTTTAACGCTTAATGCCTGTAATTCCAGTGCTTGAGTCACAGAGGAATGGATTTCCAAGTTGAGGTTATCCTAGGCTTCACGAGTTTTAGTCTAGAAGGCTAGCCTGGGACACATACCAAAACCTGCTCCCAAAAATTATTTTAAAAGGGAAGAAAAAAAAGAAGGAAAGAGAAAAGAGAGGAAGAGGCCAGAAGGTGTGACACAAACGAATATAAATAGACAAAATAAAATTGTCATCATGAAGAAAATGAATTCAAGTGAATGCAAACAGGTAAGTAAGAAGTAATGGAGAAATGCAACTCGTGATAAATAGGAATATACTGCAGTTGCTGAGCTTAATCTGCCCTTTTCAGATCACGACAGGTCAAATACAGAAAACACAAATAACATTATATGATTACAATGTATTAAACTCTGAAAATAAATTATATGTATGCCTTATGTAGCCAGACAACAATTTCAAGTGGTATTTTTTTGGGTAGCATTATTTTCATTAATACCAAAGCAGATAATTATATAATTCATAAATAATTAGTCTTGATCACAACTTAGTAAGATATTATTATTGACAAAAATCAGACATGAAATAACCTTCCTACTGAACATTTAAAAATCCTATTTCAAATAATTATTCGATCAAAAAGGAAATACAAAACAATACTGTAGAAGTTCTAGAAACTTTTATAATAAAAGCAGTTTATATTAAATCCTACAAATAAATATAAAGCAATTCTTAAAGAATAATACATAGATCTAAGTTACTATATCAATAAGACAGAAACCAGAAATTAATCAACCATTGATGTAACTTACTAAAAGTTACATAAAGAAAAAAATCAATAGTAGAAAAGATTAATGAACATAAAATTAGATGCATTAGATAAATACATATAGCAATATTTAACTGTTAAAACACCAAGAGAATTCATTAAATTATCCAAGGAAAAAAATGAAAATGCAAAAATAAATTATATATATATATATATATATATATATATATATATCAGCATGTTAGAAAGCACTGGGCAAAGCCCTCATTGTAATAGCAGATCAAAAGGAATCATGAGCAGGAAAGGCGTAAAATCAGTGTGATATAAATTTCCCTAACATAATACCAAAAGACATAAACTAGAGGGAGTAGATGGACAACCATGTTCCTGGGCAAAAACTCTCACCATAATGATGACCTTTCTCCTACATCTGTTGCAAAAATAGTACAACTCTGATCAACTATTTTTCTTTTGGAGGGAATCATCTAATTGATTTTAAAGTTATAATAGAAAACACAAACGAAACTAGCCAAAAAGTTTCTGAAAATGAGAAACAGAGGTAACTTGTCAGTCTATGGTCTGTCTCATTTTAGCAAATGGTGCAGGTTATTCTCGGGTCCTGCCATAAAAGCCCAAGTTTCCCTTGTTTTTTCTTTAGGTTTTGCTCACTACTAGTTCCGTGTTTGTGTTTACATCTTCCCTAAAGAAGTAATTAGGAAGCATTCAGTCACTTTTTAGTCCAGTTTCCTATTTGGAAGGGTCCCCTTATACCTAGGTGACCAACCCAGTGTTCTCTTATTTCAAAGAGTCTCCCAAATCCCTACCAAAAACTAAAATAGAATAAAAAAGAAATTAGAGTCAAAATTTCCCATTCTGTTAGTATTGATGATTCAACAAGAAATTGGGAGCTATTTAACACCACAGTGAGAGGTATACACATGAACACACACACACACACACACACACACACACACAAACACACACACTAGCAATCTGCAAAGTTTGATGCAAACTAAAACATAAACTTCAATCTTCATTTAAAAATTACTATAGTTCTTTAGTAACATCAGATTAATTAGCTACTCTAAGTTCGGTTAGAAAGGCCCATAGCAGATACTAAAAACATATTTAGATTTGACTGACCAGTGTTTGTGATTATGATGATAATAACTAAACCATGGCGAGACTCTTGAAGTTAGCAAAAAAAACATGAACCAAAGAAGCTAAAAGCAAAGTTGTTTAGACTTCTGACTCCTACTGAAGAGAGCCTCTGAACTATTCCTGGCACCCACCTTTCTGAGCAACTATACATTTTAGCTGGCATGGTGTGGAGAAGATGAGTTATGTAAAATGCAGAGAAATCGGTTCCTAGACATTCTAACATTGCCAGCAACAGTTGTCTTACTAGACAGGTTCTCTGGGATTGTGATTTGTGGTCTGGTTTTCTTAGCTTTATGTTTAAAATCCACTTATGAGTGATTACATATGATAATTGTCTTTCTGGGTCTGGGTTACCTCACTCAATATGATGTTTTCTAGCTCCGTCCATTTGCCTGCAAATTTCAAAATGTCATTATATTTTTCTGCTGTGTAAATGTACATTTTCCTATCCATTCTTCAGTCGACGAGCATTTAGGTTGTTTCCAGGTTCTGGCTATGACAATCAATGC